AGCAACCTCTGCGCGCCTCCTGGAGGGAGGCGCGCGGGCCCTCGCCTCACCTTCCCAACCCGGGGACCAGGGGCTGGTGGGGGGAAGCCCTGCTGGCGCTTGGATCCCCACCCCATACCCCGTCAGTCCCCCAGCCACCGTTTCCTGCGTTTTCCTCTCCATTCAGATCATAACCTGCATTTATTTCCCCTCCTCCAAGTCTTTCTTCCCGCTGGTTCCTTGCCCGGGGCTCACTTCCTTCTAGAAATCCCACTTTCCATAAAGCCTTCCAGAAGCCCCTGAGAATTTCATCGTCTTGCTTCTCTGGCATGATGAACCCGGAATGCAGTGTGCCCTGCCTTTCGGGATAGCAGTCCCTCCTCCCCCACCTCCCCAGTCAAATGTGAACTCCTTGAGTCCAGGAATGCAGTCAGTGCTCATGGGTTCAGTCAGTGTTCAGACTATGTGCTCATGAGTCTCCTGAGGTATGAAAAGAGGATGATTTTATTCGATTTCATGAAACAACTATTTCCAGAACATGTACTAAGGGATAGATAAAAAGCTAAATTCTGAGAAGACTGGAATGAATAAACACAATCCCAGCCCTGCATAACTTACAGTCCTGTGGGGGGGGGCAGATAACCCCTCCAGCAATTACAATACACTCAATTAAAAGCTCTGCCGCAGATAAACCTGGTGGGATGGAAGGAGAAATTAGCTCAGCTCTGAAGCTGTCTGTCATACCGGGGTAGGACTCTAAGCCAGATTCCAAAAGTTGAGTAAGACTTAAAAAACATCTTTCATTTGTCTTTGTGTCCCCCAGCATGGACTCTTACATAGGTTTAATCAGACTGAATGAACAGTCCCTCTGCCATATCTCATTTAAGTCTCAGAATGTAAGTTAGCTCTGTTCTCTTTCCCTTTTCCAGGAGTGTACTCCATCTTTCAATCCAGATGTGGTTCCATTACCCAGAACCACGCCCCATCTCTGGGTCTCTCTGAACAAATCTAATCCATCCACCAGGCATTGGTCGTGACAGAATCAGTCTTTTACAGGGAGGGTCTGCCTGTGAAATTGGCACCCATGGGATCCTTTTGCAAAGTGAAGTTTGAGGATCATCGCACTGAGGTGAGTCTAGGGTGGGCCGACACCGTAGACAAGACTGAGAGACCAAGAGGAAGGCCGTGTTGTCAGCAGTTAGATCCGCCATGGCCTCTCCGGGAATTCGCCTTGTCCCGAACATTTACACGGTCATCACTGTGCACCACAGACCATCTTAAGCTCTGAGGTCACAC